CCAGGGGGACGAACAACAGAAACCATGGGGGAAGGGAGACATCGGTCAGTGTAAGATATGAAAATAATCATTTATACTTTATCAAGGGGTTATGAGGCTGGGAGTTGGGGAGGGAGGGGAAAAAGAGGATCTGATACCAAGAGCTCAAATAGAAAGTAGATGTTTAGAAAATAATACTGGCAACATACGTACAAATATGCTTGAAACAATTGATGTACGGATTGTTACAAGAGCTGTGATTTCCCCCAATAAATCGTTTAGCAATATGTATGACCGCAAGAAAAGTGACATGTTTTTTACTTCACTGAAAATGTCTTCCATTACTGAAAACAGATGATGGCAACAAAACATTCAAGGCAGAAAATAACTCAGCTTTCTTCACCACATTTGCTTATTCACCCACTTTGTCTTCAGCGGTTGTGTCGGGAAGGTGATCATCATAGAATGCCAATTTAATAGAAGAAAGTATTCTTACGTTGAAGGAGTACTTGAGTGGAGGCCCAATGTCCTTCTGCTACCTTAATAGTAAAGCTATAAATGTAGGTTCATAGATCTATTTCCCCATCATCATATAAATATATTTGCATATGTACATGTCTTTATCTAGACCTCTATAAATGCCCTATAAAGCTCTTTCTTATAGATATAAAAGTGTCACGAGGTATGTCCATTTGTATATGTAAGATTGATTGGTACATGAAAGTCAAGATACGAGGGGATACCCCCTCAAAACCGGATGTGATGTGAGGGTGATGGCGCATTTGGAGTTCATTCCACCAGATCAGACTGCTAATCAAGTTTTCTATTTAGAAGTTCTGAAAAGATTGTATAACTGTGTGTGACCAAAAAGACCTGATTTGTGGCAGACGGGGGATGGTTTTGCCACCACAACAATGCACCTGCTCACGCAGCCATCTCGGTGTGCCAGTTTGGGGCAAAAAGCAGCATGCCTCTCTTCCCCACACACCTTACTCACCTGACCCTGCTCCGTGAGACTTTTTGTTTCCATGAATGCAGAGGGACATGAAAGGACAGCGATTTGATGACATAGAAGAGGTGAAGGAAAAAACAAGGGAGGTGTTGTCAGCCATCCAAACAGAGGAGTTTGAAAAATGTTTCCAAGAATAGAATCACAGATTTGACAAATGTATGAAGTGCAATGGAGAGTACTCTGAAGGTGATAAGGTTGTTTTATTAGAAAAAATTAAATACATAGCTTTGGGGGGGAAATTCTGTTTTATTTTGGGTACCCCTTCATAGATAATCCTGCAGAAACAGTAACAGGAGTAATGGTTTCCTAAGGGTACAGGAAGAGAGAGGGTGGGGGGCAGAGGGGGACAGAGGAGCTGTTAGCATTGATGATTGCATTGCTCCACTCGATGGGATTGAACTGCAGAATTGTATGTGACTGGATGTATTGGGTTGTGTAAGATATGTCAATAAAACTATTGTATATTTTTAAGGTGTCACTGGATTTGTTTCTCTAGACAACTTGTGTTGGTTTGACTCAAGTTCCAAAGTCTGGTATGCATTCAGTGGTGTAGAAAGCAGAGGTAGGATTTGTGTTCTTGATAACATTTCTATTCCTACTTTCTTTTTTTTAAATCATTTTATTAGGGACTCAATACAACTCTTATCACCATCCATCCATCCATACATTGTGTCTCCCCCTGTGGATTCCTGAGGCTGTAAACCTTTACGGGAATAGAAACTTCATCTTTCTCCCAAGGACCAGCTGGTGCTTTTGAACTGCTGACTTTGTGGTTAGCCACCCAACCCGTAACCCACTATGTTACTGGGGTTACTTAGAGAAGCAGATAGCCTCGTCTCTTTCCCTGGAAGCAGCTGGTGGGTTTGAACCACCAGCCGTGTAATTGGCAGTTAGTTAGCTTATCCCACGGTGCAACAGTAATATGGTAGCATCCTAAGGACAATAAGAAGGGCATTGGAGATAGGAGACAGTCTTTCCCTGAAGGAGAAATAAAAAATAAACATGTAAGCAAATGAGTCCAGTGGTTTTATATATTAATAGGTTCATTTAAAACATTATAATACAGTGAAACTAAGGCAGTAAGTGGCTGAGGAAAGGCCTGCTTCAACTATAGTGGTCAAGGCAGGCCTCTGTAAAGAGACAATATCCAAATGGAGACCAAAGTCACATAAGGGGGCCTCCATCCCGAGGAAGAAGGTTCTAGACCAAGTGTTGCTTAAGCAACAGGGTGATTGTGGCAAAACCGAAAAGCACTCTGGGAGACCAAATAGAATATCAGTTCTCCAAGGGCTAATTCAATCAATGCAACTGATGTTACTGAATCCCCACCCTGCACCCCCACCTGTTA